TAATCTCTTTCTTGGGATAATGGTTAACAACCCAGACTCCAGAGTCATAGTGTTGAGTTCCATCTCTGCCATTCGCAAGCTTCATGTTCCAGGAGAGTCACTCATCCTCTCTACAGTTCATTTTCTCACTTAGAAAATGGAGCTACTAACAGTTGCCTACTTGTATAGTTTACTAGGTCTGCCATAATAAACCACCACAAATTAAATGGCTTAAAGCAACAGAATTTATTCTTTCACAACTCGGGGGCTTGAGTTGAAAATCAGAGTGTCAGGAGAATCATCTTCTCCCAAAGGCTGTTAATGTAGGTTTCTTCTGTGCCTATTCCAAGTTTCTGGTGACTCCAGATGGTCTCTGCTGATGGCAGCAAAATCCTAATCTCTTTCCTCTTCTTAATGTGACCTTCTCTCTGATATATCCACATGTCTTCTCTTCTTATAAGGACACCGGTAAATGGACTTATGCCCCATTCTAACACACTATGACCTCATAACTAAATCCATCTGCAAAGATCCTATTTTCAAATAAGATCATATTCTGAGATCCCAATGGACATAAATTTTAGGGGATACCATTCAACCCACTGTACTACTTCATAGAACTACTATAAGGCTAAGCATAAGGACTTATGCAATTAGACATAGTATATTAAATGATAATAACATAAACTAACATAAGTTCTTGCAATAGTGTCTAGCATATAGCAAGAGGTGTATGAAGTATTAAGTTACTATTTATTGGTATTTAGGGAATGCGTTTTCTTTCTAACCCCTGTATTTTACAGAATATCAATATTCCAGTTTAGGTAAAGATGATAAGTTATTAAATTAATTCATAATAATGCTTGATTTTTGTCCCTGAAACTATTTTTTGAAAAACCATGAGATTTATATTTCTTCTTTGTGTAGTAAAATGGCTAATAAAACATAAAATTTTCTTTCTGTCTTTTTGATGGTGGTGGGGCTTGAACCCACGCTAAGCAAATACTACACTGTACTTCAGCTTTTTGTTTTCTCAATTCTCACATCAGATTTTGGTCTTTAAGGGAAAAACAGTGTTGACTAACCTCTTTCTTATCTTTGCAAGGACTAATACCGTAGGCAATGTCCTCCTCCATCTGATGTTTCACATGGGAAAGCCTAATTTCTCTTTGAAACTGATTTTCTTCCACAGTAATTTATCAACAGTCACATTTATGTATGTGTGTGTGCATTTTTACAGTTCTGGTGATGGAACCCAGGGGCATTCTACCACTAATCTTTATCCCAGTCCTTTTTTATGCATTATTTTGAGGCAGTCTCATTAAGTTGCTGAGGCTGGCCTTGAACTCACAAGAACGGAAGATGGCTACCTTGCTTGCAGGTGGTTGAGTAAAAGAAGAAACTTCTTGGTTCTTTTCCTGTGGGCTTTAATAATTTCACTTTCTAAATTGTTAAGTTTTCTTCAGGGCAGTCTTCATCTCCTTCATCTGCCTTTTGACTCTTTTTCTTCCTCTTTTGCCCTTTTAAGTATAAAGTTACTGTTTAGAAATGGCGAGCATGTTAGTATATAACAGAGAGCCGAGAAAAGTGATGACAATTTTTGTCCTTTCTTATATTTCTTAATGTTCTGAGGCAATAAATTAACACAGAGAATTGTTTTAATAACAAAGCTTTTGGGTAAAATAGAAATAATAAACTTATCTACCAGAGGATCTATCACAAGAGCAGGATTTCTTAAATACAGATCCATGACTAGCTTAGTACTCCTGAGCTATATGAAATGGGTGCAAGTTATATGTGCATATGTAGATTTGGTGGATATAGGCATAAATTGTCTTCCATTGGACACCAGCACTGTCCCCAATCTCCACAGACAAATCGGTGGATGCTCAAGTCTCTTATGTAAAATGCTATAATATTTGCATATGACCTGTGTATATTCTCCTTATATTTTAAATTCCTAGATTACATGTACCTAAACCAATATAAATGCTACATAAATAGTTATACTGTGTTGTTTGGGAAATAAAGACAAGTTTTTTTTAAGTGTGTCGATATTTAATATACACAATTTTTTAGAAATGTTTTTTAAATATCCTGTTGATTGAATCCACAAATGCACAACTGGGATGTGGAAGATCATGTATATAAAAGAAAATTCAATCCTAACTCTTTTATTCTCCAAAGAATTCAGATCTCAGGTAGAGAACCACTGAATTAAAAGTTTATCTCATCTGAATCTATTTATTTTGCTTTACAAATTTGGGTAGAAAAATTCTGAGGAAAATGGACAGTGCATGGAATTACCAAATCTTTCTAAATCTGGAATCAAGTCAAAGACTTTTTTCCTTGAATTATCTCACTTTTTTTTTTCAATAGCAGCTTCCTTAGTTGTTTTTATGTGCCTCAAGTCAGAGTTTGGGATGCTTAACTCACAGTTGTTATCTCTGGCAGTTGAATACCCAGGCTGATGTCATTTGTTCCCAGAACAGCATCTGAGCCCTTCTGGGCAAATTTACTGATAAGTCATTGAGCAGGCACAAAGATGGTGATGTTTTATGGTACAATGAGCCAGCCTTGCATAGATAATTTAATTCTAACTGAACTTATAGACAAAAAACTGACCTCCTTGAAGTAGTAAACCTCTTTTTTAAAAAAAATATTTACTTATTTTTAGTTGTAGTTGGACACAATACTTTTATCGGAAACCTCTTTTAAGACTGCATTTTTTTCTTTAAATTCCTGGAAACTTTATATGATTCCTTCTTTGTCTGATTTGAAACTTTCTCTTATTGTCTTCATTTTTCTTAACTCTGCTCTGATTATTTACGTGCTTAACTCAAACTCCAATTTTATTTTGAGTAATATCTATGTGTGCTTGCAGCCCCCTGGCTCAGTGACTTCATCTATGATATATGATGTCCATCTCTGCATCATAGCAGATTCTCAACTTAAATACCTGCTGCAAATAATTAGATTACCAGTTATTTCCGGTGTGCTTGTTTGTTGATTCAGCCATTCACAAAACATCTATAGACACCTACATCTTCTAGTTACAAGAAAAACAAAAAGATGGATATCATACGTAGATCGGGTCACTGCATTGTGCATGAAGGTGTGTGACAACCTAGAGATTTTAGCCTTTTTAAACTAGCAATCTTCATTTACTTAAATAAAGTAGTTCACAATTGGAGAAACCTTGCCCTTCATGAGACATTTGGCAATTCAAAGACATTTTTAGTTGTCACAAATAGGGAATATGACTATACCTGGCTGATCAAGACCAAGGATGCTAGCAAGCACTGGATGATGAACAGAACTGCCCCCAACCCCAGCAAAAGAATTATCCAGATCAAAATGCCAATAGTGCTAAGATTGAGAAGCCTTGATTTGGCTCAAGAGGAAATGTTCATTAGTTCAAAGAGTTTACTGCCATAAAGGGGAGGGGTAGAGGAGACCCTGGAGGCAGTGGCTTCTCCTCTGAGGTGCTGAGCAGGTCAGTTCTTACTGATTGATTTACACCAGGATGAAAGACTTCTCCAAGAGACAGAATTTCCTTCATGTCAATTACATTTTCAGGGATGTGTTGGTGTTCTCCAAAGCTTGGCATCTTGATGTCTTTCCAGTTGCCTGCTTCTTAATCTGCCTCTGCTTGTTCTAAAGGGGTTTACAATTTAGAGTGGGAAGACGGGTATACCAAAACTATGCTTCTGTGATAAAACCAGGAGAGCTCAGTACAATTAAGGTGTTGGGAGCACCTAGCCATTAAGCCCTGCCCTGGGGGGTCTGGTAGACTTCACAGATGAAGTGGCATTTGAGCAGGGGCTTTGAAGGGGCATTCACCATATGGCTGCAGGAGGAAACTTTCCTCTTTGAAGCCATGCCCTATGTGATTGCATTTATAACCAGTGACAAATTATTTTGTCTGCTCTTTCAGGAGCCAAACTACTTTTGTACTGTTCTACATTGAGCAAGACTCCTTTACAAACTTTGCAGGACCAACTTTGCAGTTTTTTTCTCTCACTATCTTTTTTCTATTAAAGATTTTAATAGTAGTTGTGTTCAACTGTGCAATCTAAGTATTTGAGATTAGCAGTAATTCAGAGTTGCAAGCTGTCAACGAATGAATTACCTGTCTTGTTTTACTGTCTTTACATTTTGTTTGCTGTCCCAAATGGGGTTTTCTCCAGGCTGTTGTCTTAGCTAGCTTGAAAATTGGTACAAAAAGACACTTCACACTCCAAGTAGGCTGTTCTACATGCTTTTGAAATTCAATCTGCATTCTAAAACAAGGCTGAATCCTGTATGAATATACACCTGATGATCATCATCTACAAATTCCGTTATTATTTATTTATTTTGGTGCCAGGGATTAAACCCAGGGGCACTTAACCACTGAGCCACATCCCCAGCCCTTTTTTATAATTTATTTAGACACAGGGTGTCACTGAATTGCTAAGCACCTGGACTTTGCTGAGGCTGGCTTTGAACTCATGATCCTCCAGCCTCAGCCTCCCGAGCTGCTGGGATTATAGTTGTGTACCACAACACCCAACTTCAAATTCTTGTTAAATACTATAACAACAGAAAAGGTATTAATATCTTTGTGAAGTGACCAGTTGAATATTTGGCTGTGGTAGATTTAGAAAACTGAAATTGATGTTAAATTTCAGATACAGGAGAATTAGCAAGTGCTCTTTCTAATATGATTGCTTAGGATTCAGGCTTCCTCTTCACTCTGTAAATTGTACATTGATTGAAGTTGCCTAAATTTCCCTTCTCAATTCGGAATGATTTATAACATGAAAGAAGTGGTAATTTTGTACACTTCTGAAACTAACTTGTAAAGATCTTGCCATTTTCTTGGTGACTTTGCAGAAAAATTACTCTTTTTTTGTTAGAAACAGAACAGTTCGGTTGCTTTCATTTGAATTTAGACTACAAACCCCCGGTAGTTATAAATCTGCACTTTAGTTTCGTTTTTTCATCAAAATTTTTTTTTATTTTGTTTTTCATTTTAGTCTGATGCCAACGCAAGTTACTTAAGAGCAGCTCGAGCTGGACACCTAGAAAAGGCCCTTGACTACATAAAAAATGGAGTTGACATCAACATTTGCAATCAGGTCAGTTTGGGTCATTGTTGTTTATTTGTTTTATTCAAATTCTAAGTATTTAGACTTTAAACTGGTTAAAGCTTCCATTAAATATTAGGAAGATTTTCTCCTCTTGTTGTTTTTTTTTTTCTGTTAAATTTTACCAGCTTGGTATTATCAAATTAGTCTCTGCTTGTCAGAAGTTCAGAAATGGTAGCATACATTCTTTAATAATTCCTGTAATTTTAGTAATAATAATGAAGCAACCCACCTAGTTTTCAAGTACTCCTGTTCCTAATTTAGGTTGCTCACTGCACATAGGCAAGCAAATATCACTGAGATTATCTTGGTAGACTTTGATTCTCCATTTTACCTGCACATAATTTCATCCCCTTTTCTAGTACTGATCATTGAGTGCTCTATTTTCAACCCGCCCAGTAAAGCTTTCCTTTTGCTTTTTATCAGAATGGGTTGAATGCACTCCATCTTGCTTCCAAAGAAGGCCATGTGGAAGTTGTTTCTGAACTGCTACAGAGAGAAGCCAATGTGGATGCAGCCACAAAGGTCAGTATCAGTGGATGCTTTTTATGTCATTTGCCCATTTCAGTGAGGATTCTGTCCTCAATAAGAATGAGGGTACATTTCTTGTGAAATACTTGTCAACTGTATTCCCTTGGGGAGCTTTAAACATAGGGAAATTAGAAAGGTGACAGAGCTCACATTGTCATGCTTTTCACTTTCCAGAAAGGAAACACAGCGTTACATATCGCATCTTTGGCTGGGCAAGCGGAGGTGGTCAAGGTCTTGGTCACAAATGGAGCCAATGTCAATGCACAATCTCAGGTAAACCTACAACTCTATTGCAAAGGAACTGTGCTATAATTTACAAATAATGTTCATTGGGTGAAGTGCTTGCTTGGTTCACATATCCTCTAAGAACATGATACTTAAGGGCTCTATTAAGTTCATATTTATCCTCATTTGTAATACGTGTGTGCTGAGAGGTAGAAATTTTTAACAGTGGTCTATTGATGGAACTCTATGACTAGTAGTCATACACAAATGCTTAGGGGATTTCTGAAATGCAAAATCTTATACTCTATGATGCTGGCCCAGGTTGGTCCAGTCACATTATTTATTATGAAAAATAATAGATAATGAAACTTATGAAAAATTGGGGTTTTTTTCTGAACTTGGAATTTCAGAATACATCAGTGCTTCTCCTAGTTGAGAAAGAGAAGAAACTGCTCAATTCTTCTTCATTAAGGCATCATTGCTGTTCTCTGAAACAGATTAAAAATTTAAAAATGGGCAGAAAAAACTTTAAAAAGTCTTCAAACTTTAAAGTGTTCAAAATATTTGTACTAAATAGAGGTCGTCCTATAACTCTCAAGAGTCTTACAATGAGGTTCTAAAATGAAAACTAATAGGTTATCATTTTAAACTGGGTCTAAAGGAATTAACTTCACTTTATTGGTTTAAAAATATATGCTTCATTATTCAAGTATTCATAATTTACCTCCTACACAGTCCCTTAGAGGTTGTAAAGCAAACATCATGACCCAAGAATATCCACTGAGGACTTGGCCACTTTTAAAACTAGTCTTCATGCAAACATTTTTTTTTCCATTTGAATGCCGATGTCTCTCTTTATCTGTCAAGATCTCCACCAGGGTGTTGGGTCTTGAAGAAATTTATTACAGAACAAAATTGCAAGTTTTGTCAAAGATACAGAGTTTTTTGAGGTCCTAGAGAAAGACATGATTCTTTGTCAATATTTGGCCATGCAACATGTGAAGAATTAGGTTTATTTCCTGTTAGATGTTTGATATGAGAATAATTTGAACATCAAAAGATTAAATGAAGAAAAATAAT